CAGGCAAATTTTGCTTTAAAAATGCTTATCTTTGGTCACAATTAAAAAAAAAATCTATTATATAAAATTGGTATATTGTTGTTTTAGTAATACCTGACTACCGTTTTTGATTTTTTTGTATTTTCCTTTTTTTTTTCTCTCTTTCTATTTGTTTTGTTTTGTCGGACTGATCCGAAATTCGCAAACTGATCTGTCAATTATTGAAAACATCACGTAATCTGTTGCGCTAGTTCTCATACACACGTACTACGTACAAATATTCCTAAAACCGGACAAAATTTTCCGATAATGTGCTACACTTAATTGTGAAACGTATCGTACGAGGGCAGCATTTGTGGAGAATTGCATCTTAATTATGCTAATGATACAGAGGCTTTATAATTTACTCACTAAATTTACGGATTAAAGACCTTTTTAAAAAATCAAATATTGTATGTATATATGCATATAATCATCCTTTTTTCTAATAAAGAATAATGCTCCGATTCTTATATAAACATAATACCTATTTAAAGTTTCTGACTGCCTTATATTCACGAGCTAATATAATCGTGAGTTCATTAAAAAAAATTTATATTTAAAATTTTATTCAACATAAATTTCAGCTCTTTTCAACATGCTTTATTTGTAAATAGTAACAATAGTAAATCACAAAGGTTACACCTAAAATTAATGATGAAATTATCTCTATAGATGATGTCATTACCCCTATGCAAATCGTTATTAGAACGGAGATTGTGAAGTTGTTTCATTTATGTTAAGTAGAGGAATCTCCTGCATAATTAATTTTGTCGATAAAAATATCATGTTCATTTTGTTGTGTACTTTAAATTATATTAATTATATTGGCTTTGACATTTACCTTTGTAATTACAATATTGGATAATATAAATCAAAATAAGGCATATTAATTTATTTCAATGGTTTACATTACTCCTTCTTCCTAGTAAAAAAGGATTGAGTACACAAATATATGGTTACGAATAAGGAGTCAATCTCGTACTACCTCTTAATATCTCCTATTGAAAGGAGATGTTTATGATGCAATTGGCTACCTATTTGGAGTAATCTTATTACTTCAAGACTATAGCTATAACAACAAAAATAAAAATTCAAATTTACCAGATCACAGCCATCACAAACAAATTGCATTTACTTCATTCCATACTGGATTTTTGTTTACAAAATTATTTACATTCGTTAAATGTCTGCCATTATGAAATTTTCAAATCCTAAAGTTTGGGATTTTAATATTCCAATTGGTCAGCTCACATTAGCATAATATTGGCCAAATTAAATAATTTTAATAGTGGTTGTAATGGTATATATAACCTATTTTTCAAAGTTTGGACAGAAAATTTTTACTTCCTGCGTATTATGTAGAGAACTATCTCGCGCATCACGCGAATTCTAGAGAAATCCACCAATGGCAATTACTAATGGGAAAACAAAATTAACTATCTTAAGTTTAGGCTAATTTAACTAGTGATGTGCCATTTATATTATACCTGAAAATTTTTAGCGTACAGTACGTACAGTACGTATAGTTCTTTTTCTGGCATCTGATTGGCTGGAACAAGTGATCGGTAAAAATTTTAGCGTACAGTACGTACAATACGTACCGTACTGTACGTATAGTACTGTACGCGGTACATCACTAAATTTAAATCCAACTATGTACGGGGAAGATGACGCTTGTAAGGTCTTGAGTAAAAAAATACTGTATAAGAGTAAGAAGTAGAATATAAATTTGCAAAAGCTATTATGATCAAGAGAAGTTAAGAAGTAGGATGTAAAAGCCGAGAAAGCTATAATGATCAAGGGAGGAGTGATTCCAGAAAATCAAACTTACAGGTACAGTATTATTACATAAAATACTGTTAATTGTCAAATATTATCAATGAGATAATAGTAAGTTGCTTGAGGAACCTAATGGGGTATGGTCCACTGGTACAGATATCAGATAAAGATTCTTTCAATTTTTACAACAGCTTAGAAAGTCACGTGATGTAAACATCGACACAGGCATCATAGTGCCGACCTAAAACGGCGAGTCGGTCGCTAATCGATTCGAGAACTTGTGTAACCTACGTTAAGCTTAGTCGAAATGAGGCGTTTAGATTTGGACGAGGGTGATTTTGGACGTAGATATGTTTTCTTAGCTTTTATTAAACCTTGATAATGCTCCAATACTTGTACTTTCTATCAACACAATAACCACGGTTTGAGTTCTTCAACAATAACCAAAACCGGAACCACAGAATCCACAACACGTCGGGAGACTGGAAAGACAACCACAACAATCCACAGTCCGTTGCGAGAGTTGGAAAGCAACCACAACTACCTCAGACGTCGAGAAAGTTGGACAGTAACGACCACAGAAGTTCTCAGTTCGTCGAGAATCAACCAGACAGAGTTTCGGTACAATTTACGTTCGTCACGTGAACAAGGAACAACGATCGTACCGCTTATGTCACTTAAGCAGTAGATTTAGGGTCAGGTATATTTATTTAGCGAGAACAATAGGTATAGGGGTTATTAGGAAACGAAGTTTATTGGAATCACGAAGAATATCTTCCCTCAAGGGCGAGAAGCCTTTATTATATACTTTCTTTTAATTAGGATACATTATACATATATTGCTTATACTGATTATACTGATTATACTGATTATACTGATTACATCTATGATTCCCTATATACCGTATACAGCGAATACAGTGTATACAGCCGGGGTAACTCTATTTTTAGTAGAAGGTCGACATATTTGTGGAACCGTTTCTGAGCCAAAGTTTTCACGTGCTTCCGACTCTGCGGTTCACAATAGTCAATTAGTCCTACAAATTGGGCTCGATAGCTTTCATTAAAGTTACAAGTCAATTAAGAGTCACAGAATAAGTATTCAATTGAAGCTAAAACTGACATCGCTAACTTTATTAAATTTATAATCTTATATACATTTTTAAAATTTCACAATTTTTAAAGATTTAACATCTATCACATTCTGTATTCATTTAATTAAATAATGTATCATGCTGACCTATGAATTTAATATAATCACATTTACGTGTGCATAGGCAACTCACTTGGACTCACCATCATTTTGTATTAATAAAGATATCCTTATAAGTAATGAACCAAATATTTTCATCAAAATAGAATGATAAAATGATATATTGTAAATCATATGTGGTGAAAAGTTAATTTTATGTGCAGTGCTATTTTATGCGTACTATATGCATTTGGGTAAAAAATAAATAAATTGCGATTTCCCTTAGGAATCTGTGAAGTTGATTTTTGGTTCATTATAATGTCCACACAGTTTCTGTTTTATTTATTTTTTGACACATTGATCCGATGTTACGGTGTAGATTAGTAGGCGATAATCACGAGTTGTAATTTAGTTAGAATGATGGAGCATTCATTCAAGATCTATTAACATGAATGTAAATGCTTAATTAATTTTAAATTTAAGGTAGACCTTTAGACCATAATAAAAAAGGGAGGACAGCGAGATATCTCGAAGCCCTTCATTAATAGCCCTCACGTGCCTTTTGTATATATTTCTCACCTGTTAACTATCAGGGCTAAACTGCGCATATACACTCGTCGCTCTCCCAACCTAGATGGTAACACCGACATTACCCGATGATTTGCATTAATAACTCAAATGTATCCGATAGCCTGTTGAGAAAATTGCGAATAATAAAAAGTTTACCAGCTTCATATCCAATATAATGTAAAGCTAAAATTAATTTTTGCATATGCTAGTAAATTTTTGAGAGTCAATTTTATAACGAAACAACGATTTAATAAAAAAAGCACGTTGACAATTAAAAATACACTAATATTTTCATGCGAGCTGATGAATCTTTATGATGATTAAATAGTAATAATTTTGAAAATTTTAAGATTCATAATATCCAGAAGTCGTATAAAGAAAAGTACGTCAAAGGAATGTCAACTGTAATTTTATTTTTATTAGCCAAATTAATTTCGTTTCGTTAAGGTCAAAGTTTTGTTAGAAGAAACTATTCCGTCATCGCAAAACATGACTGCAGCTAATTTATTTCCTAAATTTATTCAACCTTTAAGTGAAGATGTCTCGATAACTATCTATACAATATAAATAAGTTTTTTTTTTATATTTTAATTGTATAAATTTATAAAATCAATATAAAAAAATTTTTATTAACTTATCTAGGATATATTTGTAGAATTTCTAGAGTTGTACTATACTTTTTCAGGACTAACATTCATTCCTAATTCCTTTGTTTTAATACTGTGTACTCTAATAGGACGGTTCAGTTATAACAATTAGATCTCTGATTTGAATAAAATAGGGGGTCTATAAATTCTATATTTGTCGTATGATGATAATATATTATCAAAAAACTACGTTGTTTCATTTTCTAATCTCGGAATTTCATTTTCGAAATAGTTAATTGTCCGTGGCATTGTCCGTAGTAATTTAACAGTAGTACTTCAAATGTTTAGTTACTTTGTTCTAAACACAGCATTAAGTCACCTGCAATAATTATGTATTATAGCTATAATTAAATTTTCTTTTGCCAAACAAAACCGCGTGCTGCCGTCTCACCGACATTAGCCAACATCACATAGGGTTAGGTTTAATATTTGATTGGTTGTACATACGTATGTAGGTATAAATTTTTAGTAAATTGGCACTTGGTGTGATGTCGGCTTAATGAGCTATCGGTGAAACGATTATATATCTGTAAACTTCTTTCTCTTTGAATGTAGTTAATTATTTGACTCGATTTTCCTATTATATATTACAATGAAACATAAAAAGATATTTTTATTTTCAATATCTCCGCGGCGTATTTAAACAAGTCTATATAAAATAGATAACGCCGCAATATTATCGTTGTTTTGTTTAACACTTTTAAATAAAATAAAACGTATACACTAATTTATCTATATTTTTATTATCGAGTTCTAACAAAGATTAACAACAATATATATCGTTGATCCACATGTTGAAACTATTGGAGGTCCTATTTTTGAACTCAGAGAAGATTCCATTCTTGTACTTCATCCTCTCACTTTTTGTTATAAGCATAGCTTGCGTGGCCCAAAACAATACTTTTTATGATCCTTTACCTGATAACGATCGCACATTTACTAATCGCGCTGGTATTGGCAGATTAGTTGCTAGCAGTATAATACTGATAATATGGTCATTACTTTTAATTACGTGTCAAGATTCGATAGAGCTTCAACGCAACATACTTTGGCTTGTTGCATGGGTGTGTCTTATATATATTAGTTTGATTAATTTGCAGATTTATATTCCGCAATTAATATATTTTTTTTTTTTATACAGATTTATGCAACTGCATTAGCACTTGCCCTTATTCTAATTCCACAACAATGCCGTGCGTTACATATTAGTATTCACTTAAGAATATTACATCTACTTTCATTAATTTCTGCCGTAGCAATTTTCATTCAATATTGCTTGAGATTTAGTACAAATATCAATGCAAAATATTTCATGGTGTTTCTAGTTGTTGGTCTTTTACACTTTTTGATACTGATATTAGAGCCTATTTATAGTGAGGTAAGTTACAATAATACATTTGATATCAACATGATGCGGACACCTTAAATACATTTCCAAAAATATTTAGAAACTTTATGGTTCTGTTAAGATCTATAAAGTTTCTATGTAGACGTATGCGGGTCATTTTTTACAGGGCAATCTCCAAAATTCCGGGCCGGAAGGTTAACGTTAGTGATCTTTGCAAAATCAACCAATTCCGGCATAGCCGACCATGACATTCCAGACCGGAATTTGAGGATCTTCCCATGCCATTTCTTATAAATGTACATCAGTATACTAATGATACACGTGTCATTACACGCCATGGATCGGCTAAAGTGGAGTGGATTCGATTCGATATATGATATACTATACGTACTGCATAAATTGCTTTCTTGATATCCGTCAAGAGAAAACCCACATGCTGGCTTTCAATTATGTATTGTGTACAGTTAGCCGTCTATGTAAAATCTATCATGATGACAGATTTTCTATAGACGAATAACTGCACACAAAATATAATTGAACGTCAGCATATGGGTTTCCCTTGACGGCATTCACATATAAAAACCTACCTAATTGCATCAAAAAGCAACACTACCCTAACTCCGCTTTAGCCGACAAGCATAAATAGTTTAACTTAATGGAGTGGCATTTTAGACAATTAGTGTGTTCGCATCATAATAATTTACGCATTATTTTAATTTGTAATTTGATTAAACTAAAAAAGGATCGAAATTCAATTCCTGAAGTGAATATCTATCCTAGTAATTGGATATTTTCATGGGTTATTCCATTTATAATTACGGGCTATAAACGCACTCTTACACCTAAAGACGTTCCTGAATTGCCAAATTCCCATAGAGCTGAAAATGTTATGAATGCTTATAACAAGAATCGAAACACTTCGCTCCTAATATCATTTTTCTTCTCCTTTCGAAAACACCTGTTTATTCAATTCCTTTGCGCCTTGGCTTGGATTATTTGTGATTTTTCAATTATACCATCACTTTTTAAAGAATTATTGAGTTTTATCGAAGACTATTCAAATGATAATGAATCTCAATTGTTTGCTTGCTTATATATTTATGCATTGCTTCTTATTAAAGTATTGTCAAAGTTACTTTTGCAACGAGCACAATATATTGGTCGACAGACAGCCAATAGATGTCAGGTATAATTCGCTACTTATCCTTATGAGCAGAAATAAATACGTTAACATTTGTAATTTAACCGGATATAGACAATCATTACCATTGAAGTTTATGGGAAAATGATGGATTTGACGGATGGAGAAGAAAAGGGAAAGATTACTGATCTTATGAGCATTGATGCACAAAAAGTTTCATCAATGATTGTAAATTTTTTGTATTGTAAGTATTAATACTTCTGTCAGTAAATATTGTCTCCTCAATTCATACTAATTCATTATATTTTGTCAGTATATTCTAGTCCTATACAAATCTGTGTATCTATTTATTCCTTGTATAGTCTACTGGATGTATCATCGATTTTTGTAATAATTATCATGTCTTTATTAGCTTTTTTACTTATTATTTGGATTACACAGGTAAGTGTGCATAAAATATTTAAAATTTTTGTGTAAAGAACATTCTTATTAAGCAGTTGTAATTATAAATTTAGAGATATAAAACTGCTCATGAACACCTCATGAAGGCAACTGATAAACGTATAGAGGTAACAAACGAGGTTAGGATTAAAGATGGCTCAATATTTAAAAGAAGTATTCTTTTTGGATGTAATCTAATTTATTGAATCAATAGCTACTACAATCTATTCTAAACGTCAAACTACTTGTGAGAGATAGATATTTTCGTAAAAGCATTAGAGAAGCTCGCGAATCCGAGTTAAATAAGCTCGAAGATCGTTTTAAAAAATCTCTATATATGGAGTTATTATTGTTCATTCTGCCTTTCCTTGTGATTTTACCTGCACTCTGTTGGTTTCCATCCAAAAATGTAATTATATATTATATTTTATTTATCGCTTATAAGTTGTTTGCATCACATAAAATTGGTATTCATTCAAATTCCTTATATTAAGAAATTGTCTGCCTCTATTGCCTTTACGGCTTTTGTTATATGTTACAATCTTCATAAGGCTTTTAAAAATTTACCATATCAGATTATTTGCTTTACCCAAGGTAAGTATCTAAAAACAATTTCTTATTTTCTAAGCAGCGTTTTTCACGGTGAACATAAATTTTTTAAAAAATCACAATTTTTTTATTCATGTTCGCATTTGTGAACATAAATAATTTTTATCTAATTAGTAAAATTTTATTTGTGATTATTTTTTTAATGTGAACGTGAAAAAATTGCAATATTGTCTTTTTGAATTTCTACCACTGATTCTAAGTACATGTTAAATTTTTATAAATTTTACATAGCACATGTTTCAATTTCTCGAGTTGAAAAGTTTCTCAATGAATCCGAAATTGTTCAAATTTACTCTTCTAGAAGCGATGGAAGCATCGGGTTTAAAAAAGCTACTTTACAATGGCCAAATAATTCAAATAACTTCATATTGAAAGGGCTGGACGTCATTTTTCCTCCTGGAAAGCTATCACTAATCCACGGTCCGACAGGTTGTGGAAAGTCTGCCTTATTGAGGGCACTTTTGGGAGAAATGAAATGTCTTAAAGGTTCTGTACATTTCCCAAATGAAATTGATATTGCATACGTTTCCCAAACTGGTAATTTTAATTCACGTTGAATAATTATTTATCTTATCATATTTCATTCAATTATTAATTTCTGAAAAATTTTAATAATTTTTTAGTATGGCTTCAAAATGGAACTATTAAAGATAATATTTTATTTGGGTCAGATTTCATTGCTAAAAAATATTTTGAAGTTAAACGTATATGCGACCTTACATTTGATGATGAAACAGAAATTGGAGAAAGAGGAAATACACTAAGCGTTGGCCAGAAACAACGTAAGCATCAGGATTATTCACAAATTAGAACAAAATATAATCAAATTTATTTTGTTGCAAATTTTAGCATATTTGAGCTGACAACAATTTTTGAATTATTTTACCACAGGAATCGCTTTAGCTAGAACTATTTATTCAGACCATAATATCATTATTTTGGACAATTGTTTATCTGGTAAAATTTTTAATGGATTATATTATTGTATCTAAGTTCCTTTACAACAAAACCATGCTTAGAGTATATAAAAATATATACTATAAGCATGGTTTTGTTGTGAAAGAACCCATTTTATAAATAATGAAATTTATATCTACAATACTATATTTACCATATTTACCATTATAAAGCTGTTGATTCACGCACCGAAAAACATATTTATGAACAATGCTTAATGAGTGACTTGATGAAAAACAAGACCCGAATCCTTGTTACGCATCACAAAAAGTTTTATGGTGTTGCTTTAAAAATTTTTATGAAAGATGGCATGATAATAAAAAAAAAATACTTATATTTAAATTCAGAAGAATTGCAACATGATTTCAAAGAGTTCGAACATGAAGAGTTGCCTGTTATTAAGAACTCTGACAAACTGATTAAGGAAGAAGCAAAGGCTAATGGCTGGGTTAAATTGAATGTCTATATGACCTATTTAAACGCTTCTAGCGAATTTTTTTGGATATTAATAGCTATTTTGTTTATGTATACACGGTCCATTCAAACATATCAAGGTTAGTGATTTTTAATTACAGTAACACGGAAATTTGAATAGCAGTAATAACATTAGTCATTTCAGTTTTGTTGATTAGTGAATGGACCAAAGTTCATGATAATGACAATCGCATTTTTGATCATCTCATGGATTATGCGTCTTTAGGAGTTTTAGAAATTATTTCAATAATCATTAGATCATTTTTAGTAATGTGTTGCACTTTAAGTATTTCCAGGAAATTGCATAATGATTTGTTAATCAGAATTTTATATACTACGATTGGATTTTTCGATACAACACCGATAGGTAATATGGATTTTAGCATAAATATTTCATCAAATTACCTTAATTTTGCCTTATTTGTAATTTTAAACCATTTAAAGGGAGAATTATGAATAGGTTTTCCAAGGACATGGAATTAATAGATCAAATATTACCTCTCAACATCGAATCTCTTATAAACTCATGCATTTCTGTAATACTTGCATTTATTGTCATTTCTATTCAGGGGCTTATGTATTTGGCAATATGCATTATCATTACAGCAACATACATGATAATTGGAATTCGTTATATTTCTATATCGAGAGAATTAAGACGTAAGTAACCAAATCTGGCTTAAGAATGTTTATTGATTATTAATGCTCCATAAAAAAACTAAATCATTATATAGGTCTAGAATCAGTTAATAGATCTCCAATGTATGCTGCATTTGATAATGTAATTATTTATTTTAATCTTTACAATGAGTGTAAATATTTAGATCCTTTTACTGATACTTATTCATTTGAAAAGACCATTGAAGGTAGATCTATCATACGAGCATTTGATGCCAAAGAAAGATTTAATAAAAGCCTATGGGACTTTATGGATTGTTATAATCGATCAATTTTAATGAATTGGGCATGCAATCAATGGATGCATGTTTATTCCAATTTTATAGGAGGTCTATTTATGCTTATTATTGGGGCTCTTACTATTGATGACCTTTCTAAGGGAATGGACCCTGCTTTTGCTGGATTTATATTTATAAATTTTATAAAATTTATTAATCATATTAATCATATTATTAATGCATTTACTGCAGTAGAAATGAACATGAATTCAGGCAAGTTTTATATCTTTCATGTTTTTTATATTAGTATATATGTACTGTATTAAATATTTAAAACTTTTAGTTGAAAGAATCAATGAATATTTGACATTAGAGGAGGAAGATTCGAATATAAATGAGAGTCCTGCAGAATGGCCTGCAAAAGGTGAAATTGAAGTAAAAAATCTTAAGATGCAGTACTTTAATGATGGTCCTTCTGTATTAAGTAGCATTTCATTTTGTGTTTCTGCTGGTGAAAAAATTGGAATTGTTGGTAAAACTGGTATTTAGATTATTATTTTTTTCATTCAAGAAATTTTTTTTAAAAAAAGCTTTGCATTAACTGTCGCTGTTCATTATTATGTGTTAGGATCTGGAAAGTCCACGCTAGTTAAATCTCTTTTCAGAATTGTAAACCCGACTGATGGTCAAATAATAATAGATGGTGTTGATATTTCAACTATTAACTTGTATTATTTAAGAAAGAAAATCGCAATAATACCTCAGAATCCAGCACTATTTAATGGGACCTTAAAGTAAATTTAATTGTCATCTTAAAAATTTATTAATATGATTTTTAATTGTAAAATATTATAAATTATTAGAAGTAATATTGACTTTTCTGGCCTGCGTTCTGATGATGAATTATGGGATGTGCTTCGAAAAGCCCATTTAATTGAAGAGTGCACTTTCAATAACCAAGAGAATGACATGAAAATTGAACAATTATCATTGGATACTATTATCAAAGATAGAGGCAGTAATCTAAATCATGGTCAACAGCAATTAATTATGTTGGCTAGAATACTTATGAATAAATCCAAAATTATTATTTTGGATGAAGCAACTGCTAATGTTGACTTCGAAACCGACGGCAAGATACAAGAAACAATACTTGAAGAATTTAAAGATTCAACTTTACTATGCATCGCGCATCGCTTGAAGACCGTTATTAATTATGACAAAATTTTAGTATTGGGTATTATACATTTTCATATTTAACTACAGTCAGATCTCCTTAAATGCAACTCGTTGGGACCAAACTTTTGATTATTTGCATTTAGAGAACAATAAGAAAAATTGCATTTGCGAGTGTCAGAATACAGTATATTTTGGCCAGAGCTTGGTGATTCACTTAATGAGATATTGCACCCAAGGAGTTGCAGTTAGGAAGATCCGACTATTTATTTATTCATATCTGTTGTTGAATTATACACTAATCATGTTTATTACCGGAATAGATTCCGGATGTGTCGTAAATTTTGATCATCCATATAAGCTATTACAAAATCAAAAACCTCTACTTAGAAAAATGTTTCAAAATGAAGAGTTTGAGGATTTATTTGCTGTTGCAAAATTAAATTATGAAGAAAGGCTGCTAAATATAGTTTAATTTATTTGAAGTTTTGGATTTAGTCGGACTATTTGTATTCTGGATGATAACTATATTTATGACTTGAACCAAAACGAATGCAATTACATAAATTTTGCAATGTAGCCAACATTTCCATTCTTTTATCTTTATTAATCTTATTATACTTTTTTATAAAGTTTATTACATAGTTTAGTTTATTTTTAGATTTATTAATTTTGCATTGTTAATTATTTTTTAGATGAGCCAATTTATAGAAAAATTTTATACATATTTTTGACCAAAAATGTATATTATTATATTTCATATACTGATTGAATTGTACAAATTTTAGAGAGTTGGTATAGAATTAATGTTTTAATTTTTTGTGAAAACTTTTCAAAGATCTAAATATTTTAAATTTAAATTAAACAAAATAGAACATATTTAAACTTTAATATGTAAATTTTTATTTGTTTTGTTGTGGAGTAAAATGAGATTCTGTGTTATTCATTACCCCTCTCCTGGAGGAAGGGAGTTGGGGCAGGTTTTATCATATTAGGCCATGTAAAGTTGTTTTTTTTGTTTGCATTACATTACCCGCCGACCAATTTTTTATCTTTTTATATCTAATGTGCCTATTATTTTGTTTCTTCCGTTTAATAAATTAATCTGGTATCACCCGATAGAAAGTTTACTTTCTGGAACTATCCGAAAGACGATAGAAAAAATTTGACCGCCAAGCCAATTTTCTGATTTCAGGCTATGCAAAAGCGAAAATTGTCTTAGACATGTGTCTATTAATTTACAAAAAAAATCTGACTGACTAGAATTTTGAAATCATATAATGCAAAGCAAAAAATCAACATTATATAGTATTTTTTTTTGACCAAATTTTCTAGATCACAATTTTTAATTTTTTATTTCAGAGTTTTTCGGCCTTTTTACTAAGTTTTGCCAATTTTAGGTTTGTTCATTGTCTGCATCGAAAATTTCCAGATATTTACCTCTTTATATTTAATTTTACTATAAAAATTTTTGAAAATATCTGCAATTATAAAAATTTTAAGTACGTATATATTAAAGAATATCCACCACATGTTCGATATTAACATTTTCGAAATTTTCGTATAGAATCCACTCGATTATACAGTGGCAATCATAAGTAATGGAGCAAAAAAAAAATTTACTTAGATCAAGTTATTTTGAACAATTCTGGGCGTATTCTTTTTTTTTTAATTTATTCGTGAATAGTTATTTGTTTTGATATTAAATTTTTAATAAATGTTGTTGTTGTTGATTCAAAAATAATCACGCATGTAACACGAAACACGTGATGCATTATTTTTGATCATTCAAAATTAAGATCTGATGAGGCGTTTGTACAACACAAAACAACAATATAAAAGTAAATTACATTGTTGTTTTTGTATCATTGTACAATGTTGATAATCAAACTTTACAAAAAAAAAGAACGAACAACCCCAGCCCAAAGGGCTAACATCTTACTTTTGCTGCAGAAAGAACACACTGCAAGGGCAGTAGGTCTTACCTACAATATTAGCTTTTCTACCATAATTCATATCAAAAATAAGTGGCTATAACACCACATACTTGAGGATTTAAAAAGGGTTGGTTACGGTGAACAGGGTGAAAAATTTGATGTGCGCATGTGTAGATTGCACATGAAATTTTTTTATTTAAATATGAAGAAATCATGTAATCATATAAGTGCGTATATACTTCTCAAGCTGAATTTTTTACTCTGACAGTGAACCAACCCAAAGGAGAGTGAAGTGTATTGTTTTAAAAAATATTTATTTAATTCTGATTACTGAATCTCATAATAATTAGAAAAATATAAATTTTTAGTTTTTAGCAAATTAGACCAAATTGGTGAAAATTCAAATATGATCTAAATTAAAGATATCTGAGGTCTTATATTTATATTCTACTCAAATTTCTTAACTTACTAAATTATATTAAATAAAATACTATGATTATAGATATTAGGTTTTACTTAGTTTAGACTAAATAATCAAGAAGAAATCTTTTTATCTATATTATAGAAAATTTATTATACTTTACTTATACAACAAATTAATACAACTTTTTAAAGCTATCTTTTTAATATATATACTTTTTTTTATCTATAGTGACTCTCTTTAAATACATGTTGCCAGGACTAGTACTTTGATTTACATTTAAAAAAAGTCTGCAATTAAAAAAAATTAAAATTATTAAAAATTTTATTAATAAAAATTAATAAAATCTTTAAAAATTAATAACTTTTAAGTGGCCATATTATTGTAGGCAGTTTTTAAAAATAAATATAAATAAGATATTAAGCTGAAAGTAAAAATATAAATTAATTAAATCTATATCTTTTAAACAAAAAAGTTTTAAAAATTCTATACTCCAGTTTTTAAAATAATTATATTTAAGTAAAATTTTGAATTTTATATTGAACTGGTTTTCTAAATTTTAATATAGTTAAATAATAATTAGTATTACTAAATATAGTAATATACAAACTTAATTTTTTATTAATAAACTAGCAATTTTTTTTAAATAAAATTATTTAGAATAACAAATTACACATATTATAAAAGTTTTATAATTTTTTAAAAAATATTTAATAAATTATTATATTAAGTAATAAAATTACTATATTTAGTAATTTGTTAATTTTATTTTAATAATTTAACTTTAAGGGGCATGCCATTTATCATGTGATATTTTTTACTTAGTAGCCACCTCTATCTATATATGGTGTGATTACTTTATTTAATTTTGATTGGTTAATATTATATATAGACATGATTACTATCTCTGATCATATATCCATAGTAAAAATCATGTGATAAATGGCATGCCTCTAATATTTAACAATAATATTTTATTCAAATTTTTTTAAAAATTTCTAAAAATTTGAAATTATATATAATTTGTTATATTAAACAAATTTTATATAATAATAAAGTTAAATTTACTTAATAAAAAATTAACTTTTAATACAAGGTAATTATGATAATTAATTTTTTAAAAATTACTATTTTTAGTTTGGTAATATTACACAAATTAGGTGTAGTGACATAGTGAAGTGGTGGAGTTGTCGCATTCCCAAGTTTGCTAGCTATAGTATTAAGTTCAAATTCTACTAGTGACATTTCAAATAATTTACTTGTGTTATAGTAACATCTTATTCTAAATTGGCTAAGTTTTATACAGTAAACTAGGGCACACCAACACCTGAATTGGCACTAGAAGACATGGAAGTATTTGTGCCATTGCATAAAGAAATGCAAACTGGTATAGGTAGTACAAATCTACAATAAGCCTTCCAGGATCAATGTATATTAAAAACCTACACGTAGTAGCTTAAAAGAACCAAACTCAGCTTGGCAAATCCTAATTAAGGAAGTAGCAGATTGATCTAACCAAGTGCTATCTAATACTACAAGATAGAACCAACTAGACCCCAAAAATTAAAAAAATTGTACGACAAGAATCTTCTGGGCAAAAAAAATCTACCAACCAGGCCACCAAGTTATTTAGAGAAAAAGGTTATATGTTATAAAATTGTAGACCAAGGATCAGAAAACCTTCAGACTTGAGCCTAGAAAACTCAGATCTAGGCAGACCGATCTTTCCAGGCTATCTGAATTGGAAGTACAACAATACCAAAAAGAGTAAGATATGAAAAGTGATAGAATATAGTACATAGATTTGTGAACCTTAAAAGGGTAGAAGTAAGTAATAGTAGGAGTTTAATAGTTAGCCCTAATCCCAAGTGCATAGGTTAAGCTATAGCATAAGTTACTGAAGTACAGGTGAATACATTGTAAAAATATACTACTCTGGCAGGTTTACTTTGAGAATAAATAAGGATATATAGTCCTATCCTAAGTTTGGTTGTTAATCTAGTAGTGTTCTATAGATCTATATGCTTGGTAATATAGTAAGGTTATATTCAGATCATGAGTCCCACTTAGTGAAAGTAAGGATATGATCAGAAAGTTTAAATGAGTACTCTATGTAGTGAGGTGCAGATACAACAGATAGTGTAGAACTTTTGGGTAGACTACTTAAATTAGGTACCAAAAGTGCATGTATAGCTATATATACACTTGTTGTAACTAAAATAATACTTATGATAATAAATTACCATTGACAAAGAGGTTACCTTAACATTAAAAAAAAACATTATACAAAATTATATATTTTAATTATCTCAAAAAATATTGTATAGAATTTTCTAAACTTTTTTTGTTTAAAAGATATAGATTTAATTAGTTTATATTTTAATTTTTAGCTTAATATTTTATTTATTTAGTTTTATATTTATTTCTAAAAACTGCTCACAATAATATGGCCACCCACTATATTAATTCAATTTAGATAATTTAACTACCAAAATAATTTTTTTATAAATAATTCTAATGAATCTAAAATTAACTAAATTTAATCATATGATCTTGCTCAATATTATTAATAGTTTATTATTTTTTTTTTGGTATTAAGGTGACCTCTTTGGTCTGGGGAACTTTTTATTAGAGTATAGACGAAGTTTTATATG